AGAGGAGCCTGATAACTGAAAGATCTGCCTCCTGTTCTATTTTTGGAAACTCTAGGAACCACAAGTAAACCTACAGTCTGAGAGTGAAGTGCTCTGTTAGGAAAATATGGAACACTAAGATCTGTAATGTAAGATGGAGCTAGGTTGTTGAGAGCTTTGTAGGTTAGAAGTAAGATTTAGAATTAAATTCTGGGTTTGACAGGGAGCCAATGGAGAGAAGCTAAAACAGGAGAAAAATGATCTCTCCTACTAACTCCAGTTAAGATTCTGGCAGCAGCATTTTGGATCAACTGAAGACGTTTTAAAGAAGTTGTTGAACATCCAGATAATAAACCATTGTAATAGTCCAGTCTAGATGTGACAAATGCATGAACCAGTTCTTCTGCATCATTTTTAGAAAAGATGTTTCTAATTTTAGTGATATTACACAGGTGGAAGAAGGCAGATCTTGTAACGTTTTTAATGTTATAGATAAAAGACATGTCCTGATCAAAAATAACACCAAGATTTTTAACACTAGAGCTGAAGGACAGAAAAATAACCTCTCTCTAAATGTCAGCAAAACAAAGGAGATGATAGTGGACTTCAGGAAACAGAGTGGAGGTCAGCACTCCACCATCTATAAAAAACGCTGAGGTGGAGCAGGTCAGGAGCTTCAAGCTCCTCGGCGTTCACATTACTGAGGATCTGTCCTGGACTTTACAAACAGACACTGTGGTCAAGAAAGCCCAACAAAGAATCTACTTCCTAAGAAGACTAAGGAAGTTTTCTACGAACACCAACATCCTCACCAACTTTTATAGATGCACCACGGAGAGCCTGCTGGCAGGCTGCATCACAGGGTGGTACATGAACTGCACCAGTCAGAGCTGGAAAGCTCTACAGAGGGTGGTGCAAACAGCAGAGGACATCACTGGTAGCAGTCTCCACACCATCCAGGACATCTACCACAGCCGATGTCTGCGTAAAGCACGCAGCATCATTAAGGACCACACCCACCCAGCACAAGGACTCTTCCATCTACTACTCTCAGGCAGACAATACAGGAGTCTGTCATCACGCATGAAAAGACTCAAAGACAGTTATTATCCATAAACTGTCAGATTACTGAACTCAACTGGCAATAACATCAAGCCACATCTGTGACAACTAATGTTTATTATTTATTGCTGCTGCATCATGTATGATACAGTATCTATGTACATTCACTTCATATGCTGCTTTGTCACTTTACTACAAATGTCAATGTCAGGACCTTCATTTTATTTTATAGATATACTTTTTTATATATTTTATACTACTATACTACAATTTAGGACAGTATTATACTTTTATTATTTAATTTTATGCTAATCTAAAAAAAATAAGTCTGGTCCTCTGGACATTCAAAAAACAAAACAAATCAACAAAAAATGTAGAAACGTTTCGTCTCTCATCCGAGAGACTTCCTCAGTCTGAGGAGCTGTATTCAGCTCAGTCTCTTAAATAGCACCTTCTCAGAGTGGATCAACCAGTTTGCTGCTGACAACCAAAACCAGCTGATCACATGCTCAAGAAGGACCATCAGCCTAACAATGGATCATTAGCACCTGATGGCTGTTTACTACTCACAGAGGGCTGAGTGATACTAGCAATCACAGCATTGTAAGAGGGGGACAGTTGAACCCGGAGGCCTCCACCCCTGTTTAATGATGGACGATTTCTTTTCACAAAGATGGCCTCCTTTACTCCTCTCTCAAACCATCGTTCCTCTCTGTCCAGAATGTGAACATCTTCATCCCTGAAAGAGTGACCGCTGGTCTGGAGATGAGTGTAGACCGCAGAGTCCTGGCCTGATGATGTTGATCTTCTGTGCTGGTCCATCCTTTTGGCCAGTGGCTGTTTAGTTTCCCCGACGTAAGACACCTCAGACTGAAGAAGTGTTTCGGATGAAAGACAAAACGTTTCTACATTTTTTTGTTGTTTGTTTGTTTTGCTTTGTTTTGTTTTATGACTGTCCAGAGGACCAGACGTAACTTTTTTTAGATTTTTCTACCTGGATTATTGAGCCTGCATCAGGATATTTTATGCTAATGTTTATTAAAAGTTTTAATGTTTAATGGTTATTTTTGCACCAGGGGTCTGAGAGTAATATAATTTCAATCCTGTGTATGTCCTGTACATAATGCATTTTTGACAATAAAGTTGACTTTGTATCTACCCTACCATCATAATTTAATCTCTCTATGTCACTACCTGTGCAATAACCTGTCACACAACCTGTGTAGTTTGTTAGTTATGTGCAATATATACATTATAACATTAAAACAGGACAGATGTGTGCATTTTAGCTTATATTAAAATCTTGAAATACTTATTCATTCAAATTTATTCTGCTGAACCGTTATATTTCTACCATGTTGTTTTTTACTCTCTCTCTTTAGGACGTTGCAAATATAATTACTTTTTCACTTTTGGTACTTTATTTTTGTACCCTTATTACATGATTTTAGTATTTCTTGTGTGTTCTTTGGTTGTTTTTAGCGAGTCCAATCGGTTCTTCTCATCCGGAGCCTGTCATTGTACTGTTCACCTTGTGTTAACCTGCATTATGACAAATAAACACAACTTGAACCTGAACTTGAAGCAACATTAATTTTACTGAGCTGTGGTTTGAGTCGCAGGTGCCACGTTTCGAAATATGGAGCTGCAAATAACGAGAGTGTGCTCCTCGGCAGGTGTTTCACTGAGCACGGAAAACCTTTGACGGTTGACTGGGGGCTCACTTTCAGTATTATTCTTTCTTTGGACCGTCACCCAGCGGGCCTGAGGTTCAAGACAGCTAAGGGGAGGAAACTGATCTGAAACGTGGTTTTGAACGAATTTTGATTTTTGTTACTAACCTTGGGATGGGATTAGGATTTTAAGTTTAATAAGCAGACTAACTGTAAGTCTGTGTCAACCAGCTCTGACCTTGATAAATAGTCCATGCCCTCATGACTACTTGACTAGACTACTGTAACGTGCCTAAACGGCCTTGCACCCTCTTATCTCTCTGACCTTATGTTCCTTCTTGGGTGCTGGGATCATCAGATCAGCTGCTTTAGGCTGTTCCAAAAACCAGGTTGCAGCTCAGAGGAGATCGGGCTTTATCAGTCGTGGGCCCTAAACTCTGGAACAATCCACCCACCCGGCCACTTCACTTTTAAAAACACACCTGTTCTCTCTGACTTTTAACACACTGTGATTTGATTTAGTATTTTATTGTTCTGTGTATATATTTTGATTCCTAATTTGCCCAATTAATCTTTGGTTCTGTTATTTTATTTTTCATTAAATCACTGCCGTTGATTTTTACTGTTAAGCAACAGATACTGTTTTAAATGTGCTTTATAAATAAAGCTGACTTGACAAAAAGGGAGCTTTTCCTTTCCACTGTCTCCCTTGTGCTTGCTCAGGATGTGAGACTGATGAAGTGAAGATTCAACACAATCTGCTGCTTCCTCAGACGGAGAACTTTTACTCGTTCTGGTGGCTCAATAGTTACCCTGAGGAAACTTCTGTTGTGACTGTTTAAATAAACTGAATTGAATTTGTCCTGTTGTTGGTGCTGGTGAGCTTTCACATGCACACTTCCTGTTGTCCTGCCTCCTGCTGCTTCTGTGGATTAGCATCAGCTCAGACTTCATTGTGATGCTGCTCTGATCACAAAACAACCATTTCCACCTCACCCCACCCTGAGCTCCCAGCAGGTTACAGGTGAAACCTGCGGGGGGGTTTCATCTCTTCTCTAATGCAAACATAGAATCTGGAAGCACATCAGATCTGCAGTTATTACTGCAGACTAAAAACCTTCAGATTTTAAATGAAAACAACTAAAATATATTATTAATGTGTTTATTTTGTTGAGAGCAAACAGCTCTGAGGTAAATGCACAGTTTATTTTCACGTTGTTGACTTGTGAACACATGAAGGTTAAGTATGAGCTCCAGCAGCAGCAGGTGAGGAGCTGGGCGAGCGAGCTTCAGAGATGAGAGCATGAATATTTATTAGTTAAATATGAAATCAGCTTCATCTTCAATTGACAGGAAGTCAGGAGTTTCATCTGAAATCTTATTTTTATCTATTATAATAATCCTGAGGCATGCTCAGGAATCCAGGTAGAAAAATCTAACGAAGTCTTCTGGATAAAAGACGAAAAAGTTTCAACAAGTTGATTTTTTTAATCCGTCCAGAGCACCAGACAACATATACATCATCATTACAGTTTATTCTCAGTAGCCAAATTTTAAAATAAAAAGTTTACTGTATCTTTTTTTTTGTCATTTCAAAAACAAATGAAGCAACATAAATACACATACACACATTTTAGCTGCTTTTAAGATAAAAATGGAAGAAACTGCTGTTAAAATTAGTGACTTTAAGTTAGGTGTGTGGAGAAACTTTCCAAAAAGCAGCTTTTTATAAATTTATATATATATATATAAAACATTTAGAGAGAACATTTAAAGTCATCTTATCAGTAAGAAAGTCTTTTAAAATTATTATAATTATATCATTTATTTTCATTGAACTGCTATTTTTTGTTGTTGATGTAAAACTAGTTTAAAGCAGATTAATCACATGTCTGTTTGAGAATCGTGTGTTAAAATAATCACGTGAACATGTGGAACATGTTCTAACGCTCACGTGTGAACACCTGAGACCAGTTTGGCCCCAATACAAGTTTTAAAACGTTCCTGAACAAGAATCTCATTTAAAAAAGCAGGAATGTCTGCAGATTACCATCATCATCTTCCTCAGCTGGATGTGGATTCGAGCTGCAGACAGGCGAGAGGAGTGGGCGGGGCTTCCAAAGCCCCTCCCCCCGCATCAGAATCACCTGGAGAAGAAAAACATCCCGAGTGGGAGATTGTTTCAGCTGCTGCAGGGACTCGTTTATTGTGGATAAGTTTATGTTTTTATCAGGTTTAAATTTTCATTAAAAAGTTTTGGAGAGTTTTGTTTTAATCAGCACAGCGATGGCGCATGCGCAGATGTCCAGGTGAGTCCTGAATGAGCAGTTAAACCTTTAAATTGAGTTTATTTGTTGTTTAATATTTTTAAATATTATTTAAAACTGTGTTCTCAGGCTCCTGCTGTGTGTCTGTGTGTGTCTTCAGTCCTCTGCTGTCCTGTCCCCGTCAGGTCTGACTTTGATTATTCTGTTTCCGCTCGGGTTTAATCTGGTTTTTAATCCAGTTCGGTTCTGGTTGAACCTGATTACCTTCAAACAGGTTAAATTAAATAAATCGAGTCCTTTCATCGCAACACTTGTTGTTTATTTAGACAATAAAATGTTTAAATTAGTTTTTTTTTTTTAACTCGGTTAACTGAAATATACAGATTATATTCAGGTAAAATTAGGTAAAGATGATAAAACTGATGCTTAACAATATGAAGATTTGTTCCGAGTTAATGTGAACAAAATGACCTTCAACGGAATCCATTTGAATAATTAACTTTCAAAATAAAACATTAACGCACTTTTAAATCAAAGCTTTTATTTGTTTGAACTGATGCAAACTGACACATCATGATTTATGTTTTATTTTTTATTATTGCTCAAAGCTTTTTTTAGTTTTAATATGTTCTGCCACCATGAACCTCGGAGGGTCTGTTAGCAAAATATCTTCCGAACCACTGAACAGATTGTAACGAAACCCTGGATCATTGATGAACATCTACAACCAGCGGCAAGATGGCCGCCTTGACTAACTTTATCCAACACAGTCGATTTTACAAGCTGAGCTAAAATTTCGCCTGGTAGTAGCTGAAAGTCATCCCCAACAAAAGTTGTGAAGGCTGACTGAGTTTTGGTGATGGAATTAGTTGCAGAAATTAAATTGTTTGATAAATTTGACTAAATGTATAATTTTTATTAAATGAAGAATGAAAACGTAACAATTCTCAAAGTGATGCCTGTCACCTGTGATTTAATTAGTGAGTGTGGTCTTTGTTCAGAAGGAAGGCTCCCGGTAATTAAACAAATGTTCGTGCTTTTATTTTTTATTCTGCCAAACAACAGATAAAAACATTTAGTTTATTATGATTTAATTCACGTCTAATTTATAAAAGTTTTTTAATGATCAAACTGTAGCTTGTTTCAGCTGAAATCACCAGATTGTTTTTTTTTGGTTTTTTTTATCACTGAAAAATTAAATCCGATTTTTAATTTTTTTTTTAGAGTCTGGAGGAAGTGAAGGCAGCAGGAGCAGAACATCTTCACCTCCCCACTCCTCCTCCTCCTCCTCCTCCGAGCCTCTGGAGGTGAAGCCATCTGGTCCTTCCCAGGACTTCCTGGATCAGTTGATCCAGGTGAGGTCTCCAAGCAGCGGGGACCTTAAACACCGAGACGCCGGCGCCGTGCTGCCCTTCGTCGGCCTCACCAGCAGTGAGTCTTCAGCTGTTTGCCGCTGACGCGCCAAAACTTTCACAGGCCTGAGAAATCGGCTGTTGTTTACTCCTCAAACACAAAACAGGAGACGGGTCAAGCTGAAAACACTCAACTCGGAAAGGAAAAGTTTACAACGAATAAAGAAATAAAAATATAAAAACCTTTTGTGCTAAAACACAGAGTGTTGAAGAAGCTGAAACTGAGTAATGAAGCTAAAAGGAGCATAACACCAGCTAAAGAGAGCAAAAATCTGGCTTAAAGGTAAAGTAGGTACCGTATTTTTCAACCTATAAGTCACGTTTTTTTGCGTAATTTACATACCCTGCAACGTATACACCGAAGTGACGTATTTATGGATTTTTTTCCATATTTAAAAACCAATTTTTGGCTAAAATATGACCGTTTTCATTCATTCTGACTGAAAATATTAAACACTACCATTTTCAGCCGCTAGATGGCACTCGAGTTGTATGGCATGCTGTTGTGTCATGTAATAGGTAAAAGTGGCTATTAATGACACAATCGGCTTGCCATTCATACGACCTTCGTCCAGCTCGCCTGGAGCAACCGTCATATCAGCTTCATTTCTCTGCGCCGCCCCCGAGAAATGCAGCGTATGTGCTTATCTTGTTAAATTTCGAAGAAAGGTGCAGCGTTCCTCCTCCTGATTCCCTCCCTCTGTGCGCTCCTGGAGCATGGAGGCAGCGAATACTTTTGAAATGCATCTGATTTGATCGTCAAAGTGCATTTATTAAGTGAAAGTTAGACTGAGACACACATTTGCTATAATTTTGAGCAATTAATTGTTTTTAAGTGTTAAGTTCTTGTTAAGGTCCTTCCGTGCACGCTCCCGTGGCCGCCATTTGGCAGCCAATCAATTTTTGGTCCAACACCGGCCACATTTGTGTTGTCAGCGGTGACGTGTAATAGATGTGACATACGGTGAAGCGACGTGTTTGTTGTTTTCCACTTCTTTAGACATATTTGGACTGACGAGACTTATGGGGCGATGCGACGTGTATGGTACGGCAGAAAATATGGTAAATGCTGTAAGTAGCCAAAAGCTTGCTAAATGTAAAAGAATGGAAGCCAAAAGTAGCCAAAGGCTTGCTATAGGTAACAGAACAGTAGCTAAATGGAACTGAGTGGTGGTTAAAAGTAGCCGAAAGCATGCTTAACAAATAGAATAGCTAAAAGTATCCTTAATGTCATAATCAGAGCTGAAGCAGTTTTCATAAACAGTTTTTTGACGGAATTGCATTTGAAATTTATTTCGTTGGGGAAAAATATTTGTAATGAAAGTGAAATAATAATAAATAAATAAAAATGCAAAAACCAAAAGTCACAGCACCCATCTGCTGATCGAGCCGAAGGTTTTCATGTACGAACGACTAAAATAACACAAAGTTTGCAGAAGGCGTTCATTTATTTTCCTTCTTTTTCTGGAGATTCTAAAATGTATTTGTTCATGTATTTACCGGAGGCCTTCAAGTGATAAGAACGTTTTTTCCCCGTTATTTCCTCCGGTACTCGGTACTTTGCTGTGAAACCCAGTTTTAGTGTTTTTCTGTTACTTTTGGCCGTTTGTTCAGACTCCCGGTGTTTCCTGACGTGAAGCAGAGGGTCAGAGGAATGTGTCGCAGCTGCCGACTCTGTTTTATTTCACTGATAGGAGGACGGACCGCCACCAGGGAAACCCACACGGGTCCTTTGAGTTCTGGTGGCTTCTACAGTCAAGACATTAAGAAACTAAAGCTCTGGTTTAAACTTTAGGTTAGACTTATTTTAAGAGCTGACATTTAACTCTGAGCTAAATTTAATTCACTTCTTTATTTTTATAGAACCAAATCACAACAGAAGTCGTCGCAGGGCACTGAACAGAAACTTTCACATGCATTAGAAAAGCCGATCAGTAAAAGTTCTCTAAGGAAGCAGCAGATTGTGAAGAATCGTCTCTTCAGTCTCCCATGCTGAGCAAGCACCAAGGAGACGGTGGAAAGGAAAAACTACCTTTAACAGGAAGAAACCTCCAGCAGAACCAGGCTCAGGACGAGCAATAATTACAAATGCAACCAGGTAGAGTAAAGACCGCAGCACAGAGAGGAAATGTGGTCAGTGTGTCCTCCAGCAACGTATGGAGACGATCACAACTAATGACGGCCATTTAATGCTGATAGCATTCGAAACGGGTGCTAAGCCTATAGCAGCATAACTAAGAGCTAGCCCAGGAAACCCAAGCCAACCCTAACTTTAGGATTTATCAAAAAGGAAAGACTTAAGCCTAATCTTAAAGTAGATGTCAAGGGAATTTAGGTGAAGGTTTTGGATGTTTATCAGTAACTAATGTTAAATTAATGTGTACGGGTTGGAGTCGTTTTGTCTCCTCAGAGAGGAGCCTGCAGGCGCACGGAGACACACCTGATAAACTCCAAAGGCCTTCTCTGAGTGTAAGCTGGAAAGTCAAGGTCGTCTTGACCTCTGTCTGATAAGCGTGTATTAAAGATGTTCCTGCCTCTCTGTCCGGCGCAGGTTCTCACTGACGAGGCTAAAATCATGTAACTTTTGTACATCTGTAAAAGTTTCCTCGTGACCATCTACCCTTGCAAGTAAACATGGTTATACAAATCTTCTCGTGTCCTCAGAGTGGCTTATTTGAGTAAACAGATGATGAAAGATGGTTCTTTTATCCAACAGTAGAGGGAAATGTCAGCCTCACGGACAGAAACTGGAAGTTGGTTCCACAACAGAGGAGCCTGATAACTGAAAGATCTTCCTCCCATTCTGTTTTAGGAAACTCTAGGAACCACAAGTAAACCTGCAATCTGAGAGCGAAGTGTTCTGTTAGGAAAATATGGAACAATGAGGATCTCAAATATAAGATGGAGCTAGGTTGTTGAGAGCTTTGTAGGTTAGACGTAAGATTTTTAATTCTATTCTGGATTTGACAGGGAGCTAATGGAGAGAAACTAAAACTGGAGAGACATGATCTCTCCCAGTAACTCCAGTTAAGACTCTGGCAGCAGCATTTTGGATCAACTGAAGACGTTTTAAAGACGTATTTGGACATCCAGATAATAAACCATTGCAATAGTCCAGTCTGGACGTGACAAATGTATGGACCAGTTTTTCTGCATCATTTGTAGATAAGATGTTTCTAATTTTAGTGATATTACGCAGGTGGAAGAAGGCAGTTCTAGTAACGTTTTTAATGTGGGGGATAAAAGACATGTCCTGATCAAAAATAACACCAAGATTTTTAACTTTGAGCTGGAGGACAGATTAATGCCATCCAGAGAAAGTGAAAGACAAAATTTATTCCAAAGATGCTCAGGTCCAAAACTCCACAACCTCTGTCTTGTCTGAGTTTTTTTTTAAAAAAGGAACGTTTTCTAAATGTCAGCTCTTCTTTGTGTTTTTCCTGCTTCTGTCTCGTTAATATTTATTATTATTTCAAAGGTGCCGAGCAGAGTCGCAGTTGCTGTAAGAACGGAGGAACTTGTATTCTGGGCAGTTTCTGCGCCTGCCATCCATTTTTCACCGGGAGGAGCTGCGAGTACGACACCCGAGTCAGGTAAAGAACCGGGCCGTCTGGTTCGGCTCAGTCCAAGATTCTCATGTCGCGGGACCGTTCATGCATGAAAAAGTTCGGCTCATAAGGACAACGCTGCTGAGACCTTTGGTTTTTGTAACGTTTATGCTTTTTCCCCCACAGACTTGCTTTCACATTACATTTAGTTCATTAAGTGCAGCTCTCAGCATTTTCTGTTTTTAACAGAAATGTCCTCTTGTGTGCAGGAAGTGTGACTTTATTCCTCATGGTGAGTGGGTTCAGAAAGGCTGCTCATACTGCCGCTGTGTCTACGGTGTGCTGCACTGCTTACCTCACTTCTTCTACAAAGACTGCGGTAAGAGCCAGACCCATTCAGTTGGAACAGTTACCTGTCTGAGGTGTGTAGAGCAGTGGTGTCCAGTCCTGAAGGTCACTATCCAGCCTTTTCCCAGATTATTAAAGAGCTGAATTACCTGTTTGGCACGTCATCGAGGCCTCCAGAATTCTATGGCCCCATTTACACTGGCATGGCGGGGGGGAAACAGGTTTTTTCGGATGTTGAGTTGAGGAAATAATCTGTGTTGACACGGAGCGGTTTTGTTGTTTATGTGGAACTGCAGGACCCCCCCCTCCTCTCCCACGAATCCGCCATCATTGCCATGCCAGGTTATTAGTGCCATGCCAGGTTATTAGTGCCATGCCAGGTTATTAGTTAGTGCTGTGAATTTTATTTTGTACATTCCCCTAATGCACATGCTGCCTGGGACAGCTGTCTGTAAGGTCCTTCCTCTGGGCTTAAAGTCCAGTAACAACAAAACTTTAAAGCCGGATTTTGGATACGAGTCGACGGATTTGACACCAACTGGACCGCTTCATCGCACAGCTCGACACCTTGAGCAAACCAGCACCGACGAGGATGACGCCGGATTTCCCACTCCAGTGGTAATCGGTAGCCGTCGAGCAATGCTACAGCAGGTAAATCAACGTTCTGGATAATGTTTTGCTTGTCTTTCCTTCGGTTACACAACAACAGAGTTTTTATTTTTCCTGCGAGGAGAAGCTGTCCTCCCACCAGAGGCGGACTGGTTCCGAATGAGCATACACCTCGGCGGTGCAGGGGGACCTTGAAGAGAGAGATGATGGAGCAAAAATTCACTTACAACTCTCCTCAGTTCTTTTTCCCAATTACAAAGACAACAACAACAAACACAAAAAAACAACAACAAAGGAGTGACAGCCTGTTCAAGCCACATAAACAACATGGAGCCAGTATCCAGGATGACAACAGAGAGGAAGAGTACAGTTCATGTAGTTTACGGTTTGGGTTAATGTGTTTTTCTGCGATGGAGTTAAATTCAAAGCAGTCTGCTCAGATAAATAATGTTAACTTCTATTTACATATGAATGTTTCTGTTCAGTGCCCTGAGACAGCGTCTCAGAGTCCGAGTCAGAATTTCTTTTATTTGTCATTCACACCACGAGGTGGAACGAAGCTGTACACGGGTCCCAGTTACATCCAACAATAAAATGTAAAAGAAAAACAATAAGATCTAAGACATGAACTAAGAAAAACATCAATTATAATTACGCTAAGCACTAATGGCATAAAAACAATTAATTGAACAACAGCACAAACATGAGACTGAGCAGATGAGCACGCATGAACACAGCAACATTGAAACAGATCAGCAGCAACATTGAAACAGATCAGCAG